GACGATGGCAAGGCATGCGCAATACGTGTCCTAACCAGCGAAGTCGACTAATTTGAATTCGATGGGACAACAAATTCTCCATAGAATCATTACAGGATGTAGAGAGTGCATGAACAGCCTGAATTCCTTCATCAAATCCAATAAAAGCATATACATCCACCGCCTAAAACAAACACTTACTTTGGAACAATCTGGCAAACTGGATGCTTCTGAAAGACAAGAAAACGAGGCCTCGTGGAAACCGGAGGAGGGAGTTGGTACGGGAATTTGCAGAGAGGAGGCAGTCGATAAATCGACATCCGGTGAGAGGGAACAATCCGAAGTTTGAGCGGGCTGTGTAGGACTTCCAAAACGTGTGTGAGCCGGAGTGAAAGCAGAATTGTGACTGATGGGTAGGTCAGTCAGTCCAGGGTAAGAACAGGGGGGGGAAGGAGGAGGCGGAATAGAAAAGGAAAAAAAGTCAGACGATTGGACGGGGAACGAAACCCGTGTCAGAGAGAAAACACTGAGGATGCGTATGCATACACATTCGATGTGCTGCTTGATCAATCACTACTCGGCATCATATCATCACATATACACACCCAAGGCACTCATAATAAACCTCTGCTATTGTGACCGTTCAACAAACTGACATTTGGGGCACAGTCACCACAACTGGAATCCTTGTGCCTTGAGTGGGATAAGGTAATTCCAATATGCTAAACTGTTAGATTGGGAATCCTTCCAACCGAGCCATAACCCTGAAAGCTAGTACTAATTAAGATGAACGATGTGTGATGCCCACATTAAGGTTGCAAGAATAGGCTGTGATATATCGTGTATAGATAAAAATGGATAGAGGCCTGATCAGGTGCCTAGTGGTCAAGGGGATAGCATGCTTGCGTTCTACTTGTGCTGAGATCCCCGGTTCGCGATCCTCCGTTGGATCAATGGGTTCACATTACTGACGAGATCCGATTAGGCCGAAGCAGCTGTACAGTGATTCTCAGTATTCCAGTTCGCAGTGCATTTGTTCTGTATACGGCTAAATTCAAGATTTGATTCTTATTCGGTCCCCATGAAGCTCAGGAGCCCAAGAAAACACAACTGAGATAATTCTGTGTGCATGAACACACACACATAAATACGTTTCATGAATCTCGGGCACCGAAATTCATGGACGAATTCGTGTTCACTTTATCTCATAACTCGACAATAAAATATTTTCAGGAGAAAACTAGTCAAATAGTTGCAAACAAGAAATCTCGAAACACACAATCACGATTGTAGCTACCGAAATTGGCTATTGTTGGTGGCTTCAAGCAAACAACCAAAACATTTGTATATGTGTGTATGCATTTGAAGGAGGACTTGATTGAAGAAATATTCAATAAAGGGGAAAAATACGAATATGTACAATATGGAGAGAAAGAGTGTGGTTGAACAGAGGGTAAACAGAGAGAGACTAAGGTCTCACTATTCCACGTAGACGAACGCCTATATCACACAGGGAATTCAATAGGCATGAGTTCCGCGATCCACGTGAGTAGCATTGCAACAGGAATGACACAATAAGCACAAATACACTCACACACACATCCTGATGCTGGTGCATATGCATCTGAAATATCTAACAAACGGTTACTAGCAATTGGTGCAACCAAGCACAATGTGGAACGATGACAAGTGAGCCACACGATGACAAACCGGTCGTGTTACGTGAGGTACGGGGATGCAAGACAGAGGAATCAAAGCAGATAAGCAATTACCAGTAACAAATAGCACAATCCAGGACGGGAGCTGTGCTGAGTACAAGCGTGACGCATGAACCCCTCACTCACGGAGAACTCATTGACTCGCAATTTGACTGCTATTATTGTGCTAATCTGGCATTCATTCTATTCACCAGCCAACACAGTTTTAATATCACTAGAGTGAGCAGGAAAACAATCACCAGAAAATGATTAGAAGCATGATGAAAGATCATATTTGGAAGATGATTAGTGAGAGATCCACTTTGAGAATATCGGCACATTGAAGCCGATCTCAGTAGAGAGTAAATTACATGATTGTCATGCAGTTTTCACTTGATAATTCGTACAACAGCCTCCGGAAGTCCCAGGTATGGTCCAAGGTGTTTGTCTCGATTTTTGGCTGGTCACCGTTGCCTTACCCCTCGCGAAATGCTCCCATACGAACAAGCTTCTCCAGCAGCCTCTGTTGAGGAAGTCCTATTCACTGCCTTCTCGTGGCAGAGTTGTTTTCCCACCAAAGTGAGAAGACAAAAACCGATATCCGGGGTTGTAACCAGGTTGATGAACCACTAGCAGTTCACCTAGNGGCTAAAACCCCTGATTCCAAACCAACCAAATAAGAGGCGTACAAACCACACACACACACACACCTGTGGTCATGGTCATCGGCTCCATTGAGTACAGAGGTGTATTTAACACCTTGGACGTTTGGCGCCGTTCAAAGAGCGTATAATCCGATGGCCTCCCCCCGTAAAATTGCAACTTTCCCACACCGCATTGTTGTCTTATGGTCAGACTCTGACTAGTCACAAGCTCCGGTTGTAAATTCCTCAAGGAAAATTCCCTGTTTCGGCCGTGACAACCTATTAGTACCGTGCCCAAGAGCAAGTAAATCAAGGAACTCTTTTCTTACGAAGACGATTGCACCGTGAATTGTTTAGTACGCAGTCTAGACTTTGATGTTTTATGTACTATCAGTATTGATATACCTGGGCAATCATTAATGGTCATTTCTTTTGGCATAATAAATGTCTACGTCTGGATTCAGACAAATGTGAACTACCATACAACACTTTACCGAACTGGTAAAAACCCGAGAACGTTATAAAAGGAGATGATGCCAGAATCTTGAAGATTTGAAAAATGCCTTATTCGGTGGGATGCCGCAATCCACGATCGGTAACGTGTTTCACCTATCACCATTGGAATGGGCAACGCGTAGCCACATGTTCAGAGATGTGATATGCTCAGAATAGGAACTATCGGATCAGTTCTAGAGGCGGGAATCACCAGTGTGTCACGTTGGGAAAAAGACTGATGCGCGGTCGGACGGCAAACAGATAACATATGCTGGGTCCTTTTCGCTCATACCGCATAGTTCGTCGTGTGCGCTTAGTTGTGTGTGTCGATGTGACTCAAAGAAAAGACTGTGTGAAAAATCGGAAGTATTACAGATGGTAGTTGACGATCATCACAATACGTAACGGTGACGGATGGGAAATCCGGGAAACGAACTGGAGAATTTATTTACATAGTCGGGTACACATGCGCGCGCGGCTGTATATACAAGCAAGCCGCCATACTGAGTGCATGGAATGTGTAAGTAGCTCGTTCGTCTTCTATAAAAGCGAGAGGAAAGAAAGAAATAGCAGTGGACAGAAACGAATCGCTTTTTTCGCAAAATATCGTCCGATTGAGACAATCTGATTGTCCGTCACTAATATACGCACTGTCAGAGTTTGTTTGGTCGAGTCCGATAGGCTGTCCGACTAAACTGACGCCGCTGCTCATCAATCCACCCTGAGGTTGGGTGGAATGGAGGATAATGGCTTAGACTCGTGCACCATTCTGTGTGTACGTTTGTGTGGACATAGGTACGCACATAGTTTGACCAATCCGGTTTCTCTGGGCCGACTGACCCAGTTTCAGACAACAAGCCTAAACAGGCCACAATGATGTAGTGTCAATAGGCCAACGCATTGGGGTGCTTGATAGAAATTTCGATTTCGTTCCGGGACTAGTCTGTACCACTAACACAACCAGAAGCCTGTCAGCACAGATGATACGATGATGTACGAGTGTTGAGCCAGGTCAGGCAATCGACTTGAAGCAGGTACCTAGGAAAGAATGCGTCATGCATGGATCAATTTCGGTACCGACTATGCACACCAGAACCACATATGCATTGGTTAATCCGACAGAACAAATGACATGGCGTGGTTGGAATCGAAAACTAAAACCTTTCATTTCAAAGTAAAAGTCTACACAATGTCTGTAGTCTAACTGAATTGACCCAGTGCCCGGGAACTTGGAAAGTTGTAGATACATGCACTGAGTCAGGAATTACGCAAAATTGAAAGCTTCTTCCATCACTAGTTTACGGTGAAACGAACAACCAGTACGAGGAATGAGCATTACTGTACGATAATCTGGGACAATGCCGTAAAGAAAACGGTATACGAACTCAGTCATACTGAGCAGTGTCCATTTAGCGATCATTTATGTCCATAATAACTAACGCGTTCACGTCCAAGCTGTATTTGTGTGAACCCTGAGATGATATAGCACGATAGGCGCTTATTGTCAAATAAAACAACTTAATGATAAATGAGTCATCCAAATGATCTCGAAGGTCCACTGTTTTGAAAGATGATTTTACGATCGAAACGAATGCAAGACACCAACTGTCGCTAACCCCCACCCCCGCTTCCGATCCCCCAGGCAAGAGGTAAACATTCATCCACTGTGGTAGTATCATTTGGATGAAAGAAGTCAGGCGTGTGTAAGATGTGACTCAACACAAACAAAAAGTTGAGAGAAAATGCAAACCTGTGTTATCTTGCCAATTAAAGCCGAACGATGACTGTATTTGACGCTGAGGATCGTCCTATTCACACACACACACACACACACACACACACACAAACACACACACAGAGCTGTGGAGCCACCGTGATCAAACAAACCACGAATCAAAGAACTCAGAGTTGATCACATAGTCGTGAGATGAAAGATGACCTAATCAGTGTGTGTGTAGGCGAAAAACGCTGGATGAGATCTACAAGGAATTCACCCATTGACAGGTACAGGTTCAGAAATAAGTGAACAAGCACACATACACACACACAAATGCATAAAAAATCGGGATCAAATCGCTATCAATACGGCACTACTGTCCCGGAGCAATCGAATTAATGTTATTTTTCCGTGTCAAAAAGGGGAAGCTATTTTAAGGCCAACTGTTTATCATTTGTCGTTCAAAACTTACCATATGCCTGAACACGCACGCGGAGAGTTAGGAAAGATACAACTGGCACAGGTCATACTCTCGTTCACGCGTTGCTTGCACATCCGACCGGAACACATATCACCCGAACAGGGGGGCTGCGATCCGGCGGCGTTCCCCGGTCCATCACCTGAGGCCATCATCATACTGGCACCAGCGGTTGATACCGTGGTGGCTCGAGTGGCGGCTGTGCAGGAATGAGACGAACAGGCAAAATGTACTCCGTAGCTTGGATGCTGAGCTTTGGCACCGAGACCGGACGAGAAGACCGGATGGTGCCAACTAAGCCGAGACCCGTAACAGTACTCGCGTTGTTTGGAAGCGCGTAGCATCACACCACTGGAGTTGGATTTCGATCCATTTATGCCACCAACAGACAATTGGTCCGTGTTGCTTGATTGCTCCGTACTCGCTGACTTCGAGGTTGGTGTCGGTCGAATCGCGATTGGACGAGGTAATGTGCTAAAATGCGACTCGAACAGGTGTGCTTCAATCAGTTGTGAGTGTCTGTTTGATCTTGTCTGGCCACAAAGATAAAATGTCGCATGGTTGTGATGCGAATGCAATTGTTGGTGTTGTTGCTGTGCTGAGGCAGATGCACTCAAAGAACGACAAGCACGTTTGGCCGGTAGCAGGTGAGCCTGACACGAGCACGGAGTAGTGATAGACCAAAGAGCTGTTTTGTCCAGGGATAGACGGTTCTGATTGGACGGGGATACGTTGAAAGACGGGATGAACGAAGTGCCAACGCAAGTCGTATTGAAAGCCAAAGAGGACCGAGAGGTGGATGTGTTGTTAATGGGATTGTGATTGTTGTGGTACGGAGTGTATACCGGTGCGGTGGTCGGCGCGCTCGCCGAATCTGAATAGATCAAAACAAAACAAAAGTTAAGTGAGCTGACTTGGAATGAACAAGCGGGACAAAACATATAACGCATACCGTATTGGACGATTAAACAGTACATGTGCCTTCACTCGTTTTAAATAAACTAGACTAAGAGTAAAATGATATGGACGTCACATACAGATCGGTGATTAACTAAATTCATCAACTGCGGAGTTCCCAGAGAACAAAAAATGACAATAACAGATAAAAATGCGCCAAAAGTAAGCCCCATAGAAAGAAGTGAATACTCACGACCGATTCGAGCAGGGACCGCAAGGGTTCGTGAAAGAAGAAAGCGTCTCAGATCTCGACGAGGAATCCCTTCAATCCCGTAACGTGTGCACTAGCGATTTTCCAAGGATCGTTGTGCAGTAAATCTCGTATCATCTGGAGTCGGCCAGGAAACAAGCGGGGGGACATTCAGTCACCTTTGCTCGTCTTGACTCCCCTGCGCTTCGCGAGCGCAGAGTACGTTTGCATTACAAATACATTATGGTAGTGCTGAATAGAAAACTGAGTGAGTTGGAATTCTCTTCTTTCTTTAAATGTCATATCTTCAATCCTGAATCCGGATTAGTTGCCACCGGTGGAGTTCAACTGAGCAACTCTCTTCATAGGTGATATTTCAATGAGTACCTTCTTTTTTCAAAATTCCTGTACAGTGGCGTACGTTACACAGAATACAGTCATCAATGTGATGTAGATCGATGATAACAACCTTGATCAACGACGTGCAAGTGATACACACCTCACTGAACCGCTTGGATATCACGGTACTCCAAATATTGAAATATGTTCAGATGCACCCAAACAACCCAGTGATGCTCTGGGGCTGAAAGGAACCTTCCATCAGTTTGTACAACAATCAACCATGCACTTTCGTGCGCCGCTTTTGGTTGCTGTCTTAGGCTCCCCATTCCCATGAGCAATAGGAGAAAGACAGGAGTTGAAAGTAGAGTCAGAGAGAAAAATGGAGAATTTCAGTGGACTAAAGTTGCAGAGATTGAGATGCACGAACGACAGCCATATCACTCAGTGTCTCTATCCACCAGTTACGATCATCCCAAGATCCCCATCCAAGGAGACTAATGGGATCTATGTGACCGAATCTCCCAATTAGGGTTTCCATATCCTCATTCCAGGTCTTCATTTGACCACCCCTGACCTTTTTCTAACCCCGTCCTGCCTCAGCAAACATCGCTCGTCGTGGCAACCTATCTGGCGGCATGCATCACACGTGCCAAATCAACGTAATCTGTGGAGATCTGCTACTTGTTCCAGTGGACGATCACGATTACCTAAAACTCTATGCCTATACTCAGCATTGCTCATCCGGTTCCCCCACCAGATTCGTGCGATGCTGCGAAGACAGTCTATCTTTATCCTGTTTTCTCTAAGACCAAGTTTCTGCGCCGTTTAACAGAACTGGTCGATATATATATTGAGAGTACCACAGATGCCTCAATTTGGCAGATGGTAATCGAGCCTCATGTATGCGAGCTGATCTTCATCCGTGATGCGTCCACCGCATCCCCAATAACAAAACTTGTCCACTTGGTCTAGTACTCCCCCAGTAAGAGTGAGTCTGGGTGCTGGATCAACCCAGTCTTGTAGCAGCATTTTACACTGAAGGTGCAAAACGCATACCAAACATCGACACACTACTACTCAAGCCTCCGAAAGCCTCAGTATGGTCGGGGGTGGGTGTCTANAATAGCCTCTGCTGAGGAAGCCCTACTCACTGCCTTCTCGTGGCGGTGTTTTTCCATCAAAGTGAGAGGACTAATAGCCGACATTCGGGGCTATAACCGGGCTGGTGGACCACTGGTAGTTTACCTAGGGGAGTTGGCCAAAAACCCTGATTCCAATCTAACGAACCACACACTTTCCTAGTTGCGGTCACCGGCTAAATTAGGCATCGTCGAGTATTGGGCACCTTGGACGTTTGACCCCGTCCGAAGTAAGTATGATCTGATGAACTGGACACCGGCCCCCAATGGGCTGCGGTTTTTGCACATCACCCCGCTGCCTTGCGGATTAAGCTTGGCTAGCCGAAGGCTCCGGTTGTGGTAGCAAATCGATGCCACCATCCTCGCTCGAGGATAAGGCTGTTTCAATAATTAAATCTAGAAAAAATAGCTAAATAGAAAGGGAGAGAGAGGGCGACCCTGACGAACAGCACTTTCTGTAGTGAACTCAGGCGAGGAAGTGGCGTAAGCTTGGACTCGACTTCAGCTATTAGTGTAAAGGGATTGTAATATTGAAATAAGTTTCTCGGGCACACTCTTCAGAGAAAGGCAGCACGGATCTCATCGATAAATCTAAGAATAGCACAGAGATCTAAATAATATCACACTTAGGTTAAACCAGGAGTGTTCAAAATGAAGTGCCATAAGACTGGACGCCTTCCATGACGAGGTGGCTGTTCGATTTCCGAGTGTTTTATCTGTGTCCCGCCTTAGGGGCGTGAGTCAGATCAGACGTTTCGAGAAAGCTCAACGAATTTACGCAATAACGTATCTCAATCTCTAGAACAATGCAACAGTTCCGTGGCGACATCACGTGAACAACAACTAGGTCGAATGGGAGTTTATTGAATACAAAAAATTTTCATTTGCTGAAAGTAGACAAAACACTGCCGGATAGAGCAAATATCATCTAACAACTTAGAGGTTGCTGTTGACAACGATGTGCCATAAATGGAAGAATCCTAACAATGTTCAGGATATCGTGCTTGTTTAAGACTTGGGTGCGGGTTAAAATCCCGGCAAGGATGAGTCCTAATAAGGATGAAACAGTTGTCTGGTGCTCTTTGTCGGTCATCGGAAAGAGATTTCCGTTTCAAGTAATAATGTCCAGTTCATAACACACATTAAAGAAGTCCGATCAGTCATGTCTGACTGTCCAGCTGCGATTCAAAGGATTCCTCTCTAAATATAACCGATTAGAAAACTCTCAAATCGGAACCCGTGGCACAATTCAATTTATGAGACCCCAAAAGTAAGATAGGAAGTAAAGATTAATCATGTCCAGATGTCAAGTACCATATGAAAACTCGAAAAAAACGCTCCTATTCAGGTGATCCCACCCGCATGTTGTTGTTTCCCATTTATGCGTTATTTGCAGCCTGGTTGATGCAGACGGAGAACTATGAATATAAACTTATTCATACGTAAATTTGGTCATGTACTCTGTGTCCCTCGTCGGTCGATTAATCACATCGCGAGTTTCAATACGCGCGCACACACGCCCACGCAAGCAAGCACTCATTTGATCAAAGCGATCAACAATCTAATCGACCGACAAAATACCACAGCTCTTCTTATTCGTCTAGTTCTGTGTTTGACGTGAATTCCATGTTGAAAAAAGCACACAGGACTACGGATCCATAGGTAAATGGATTTGTCCCAATCGGTTAGACAACAACGACAGAATGACCAGTTTTAGTGAACGGGATAGCGTCAGTTGTGATCAATGGTTTTGTGGAAGAAGTACGATTTTGTAAATACAAACCTAAACAGTAAAAAAACAATAGAGAAAATTAAGCACCCTATGATCAGACAGAAGGTGCATGAGATGATCTAATTACCGAACGATCCACGAGCTAAATCTGACATCTAACGGTGATCTGATAGTGAGTAAATGAGGCACTGGAAAAGAGGAATAAGTCCACGGTCGGCACTGTTTGGATCTGGATTCAATACTGAGTACAAACAAGATCCCTCATCAACCAGATGAATAACGCATGCTTGTTCTGGAGTGCATGTGACGACTGAAGCAGTCAACTAGTTACGTATTCCCCAGTTCGAGCTCCTAAAAACATAACATCATTAAACAATAGTGAAGCGAATAATTATGGAATCTCGAACGAAATTTCATAAGCCGACAAAACTTCACACATTAAGTCCTCGGTCAACATTTCTCTGAAAACAACGAATGAGTTGCGTATAACAGAATCTCAGAGAGATGACCAAATTCAGACTTATCGTGCTCCACAACTAGGATAGGAAACTACATGTCTATGGGGTCATGTTGAGAACAAACCCAGTGAGTTTCAGTACTGAAGAAGGCACTGTGCTTTTCGCAACCGGCCTTGGTTACATCCACGACCAGTCATCCGAAACTCTCCCAATTACATCCATGCTTTTGTCAACGATGCCCATCAACACTCTCTTTTTTATAACACTTCGTGTGCATTCGTCGCCACAGGTGCTCACGAGCGTCTGACTGCGAATACTAAAGTGAAATCACAACTGTTGTTTAGGGAACTGAAAGTGAAAAATTTCATGTAA